CAAAGTTATATTGTTTTCCTTTTAACAGAATGTGTCATAGGCTTTAAGTCAGTGTGACATAACTAAAGCAGCAATTCCTAAACTTGCCTCTGTAGATGCTTGTGTGCTCACTCATCATGACTTACATTGAACTGCTCCCTGTGCTGCAATATTATTATAGTACTAAGAATAATATCTAAGGTGTGCACAGATTTGTTCAGTTGAGTATCAGTGGATTTTGCTGATGGGGACCATTTCCTGTTTTTGTTTTTGTATTTTTTTTAATTATTCCTCTTCAGCAAGTTAACGTAAAGCTGCAGTTCTTTTTAACTAGCACCTCTACAATGATATTCCCTTATTAGGTACATCTCATTATTTCCACATTATAAGAAGTGAGAACCGCCTCTAGAAGATATTAACAATTGTGCAAATTCCACAATTTAGATACAGTGAATATGATGTTTTTGTTTATACTCGTCTGCATCTGCTTACATGGCATTGAGTATCAAAAAACTCCAGCTTCATTCTCTATTTCTCTCATCATAAATATGCATAAGACARTATTATTAACATAAACCTATTTAACAGGTTCACCCTGTAAAAATAAACATAATTCTTTTATTTCCCTGGATATTTTTACTTTTATCTCTATTTTTTCTTAGATCTTGTGTGTTCATATACTGCCTACTTAGAACATTTGTTACACATTGTACGTAGTTGTTTGCTGTATCATGTGGTGCTTTTATTAAGCCCATTTGGAGTATTGATGAGTTTTGATAAGTAAAGACTAGCCTAGAAATACTTTTTGTTTACGCTTTGGATGATTAGTCACACAGTCATAAAAAAAAAAAAAATAGAATATCTACCCAACTTCTGCAAATATTCATTGACAGTGTCATCGTATGTATGGATCAAGTATTCTCAGCAATTGAAATTAGTGCATTTGCATTCTAATACTCCTATTAAAAAAAAAGTRTGTTTACTGCGGTATACCACTTAGGTTGTATGACTGAAATGTTAAGGAACAGGTTTTAAATATATTAGCCCTTTTGAAAGTCAGAAAACTACTATTTCCGTTCAAATAAATGTCACTGAATACATGAGTATTTCATTATTTATTAGATTTTTTCCCTCTTATATTATCCATTGTTGCAACTTTTAGGTTTATATAAAATTATGTATCGCTCTACCAGACCAAATTGTTTTCAAGTTCTATCATAAATGTAGTAATTTCTTTCTGAGACCCAATCAATTATTGAAGTTTATGYAATTTGTGTAGTAGTTACCTCATTGTGCATTTTTTTCTATTCTTCTAGCAAATCATTGTTCTCTATTTCTTATCAACACTGAAGAGGTACCTTCCAGAATCTTCCCAGTCTTGCACAAGACTGATATTTCTTAATCTGTCTATCTGTCTATCTATCTATCTGTCTGTATATCTAACAGTATTTTATTTATGCTTCAGACTAATGATGGAATTGTGAAAATATGGAGTGATCCAGGAAATCATGGTGATGAATGGAAGAAAGCTGAGTTACATCTGGGGAAGAGGAGGAATTTTGAAGTTGTTTTTGAAGGCATTCGTACCAGAGACATGGGCGGAGGAGCAGCAATAGATGACATAGAGTTCAAGAACTGCACCACAAGTAAGTTTAACAGGGAAGTTTCTAGAAGGACACTAAAAAGAGGTGGAGGATGTTCTTGATTGCTTTAAAATATGTCATGGTTTTATAGAAATTACTATAATGCCACTATCCAAAAATCATTTACAAATATATCTTGGAACTTTAATACTAATTTTTGTTTATACAGAAGTCTTGTACAAATGAAAATGTCTCATGCTAAAGCATTAATGGTAAATCCAAGAATTCTGAGGGGTTTTTGTATAAGAGCTTTCTTTTCAGAAAGCTGCTTAAATTGTTGCTAAATTATTCTAAGAGTTTCTGTTGTTGCATATAACAGTTCTTATATATTATGTCATATTAAATTAAAAAAGACCTTTAGCTTCCTGTTTTGTCATTTCAGAAAATGGCATTTTTATTGCAATAGAAAAGAATTGAAACCACAGACAAACCACTATCATGGTATTCCTTCCCAAATCACTTTCAAAGGTTAGGGTTAGCAATGTAAAGAAAACTTCTCTCTCTTATGTATGTATTCTCTCTATCTAATTTATGTATTTCTGAACATGGAACAAGGTAAGAACTGAGTTTTCCTAGAATTAGAAGTCTCTTAGATTGTGGCTTCCATTAAAGAACCGTGTAGTCTCCAGCCTCAATAGGAAACAGTGTGAGTTGTAAAATAAGTGAATTTGTTCAGTGAGACGATCACTGAATCCATCCCCCACAGTTAAAGTTTGGGTGGGTTGTTTATGCTAACTTTCATTTTCTGCTGAGGTGTCCATTAGTCCATTGGAATATGGAAACTGTACTTCTGGAAAGCATTTTTTAAAGTTCTGAAAAAAATGGAGTTTGTCCCTTCATATACATTATTCTGGGGTGTAAAGCAAGGCGTGAAGGGTAGATAYAACTGGAAGAACTGATTCAAAAATGCATTTTTGTTCTGAACTGAAAGTGCAATSTAGATACACACTTGAAAGTTTTTTGGCATCCAAATGTTTCTGACTCCGTTGTAGTTTTTGTAATGAATGCTGGAATGTCCTCATTGTTAGGAATGTGATCGCTCTCCAGCAGACAAAAATAGAGTCAATGAATAGAATCAATAGAAAATGAGTTAAGAGTCAATGGTGGGAGGGAGGTGAAGATGACATTCCCCTATGGTTTTTGGACAGCAAAGGGGATGCTCTTTTGTAAATTATGCCAAATAGTGGATTGGATACATTCATTCATAAAGTTGGATCTAGTTAAACCATATTCCTGGGATTTTGGCCCATTTTGAGGCTAAAAAAATTTAGGCTTTTCATTTCATGGCCACGTTCATGAAGAAATTGAGTTAGCAAAAATAGCAGTATGCTTTTTAAAGGAAAAGAAAACTTATTGTGTATTTCTAAAGATGGTATCAATGTATTTTCATATAATATCAAATACTTAYATGTTTAGTCTTGATTCCATACATTTTATAATCTGAAATCTTAGTGGAAATACTCCACAGAGTTCTCATTTAGAGGGAGGAAATTCTTTCAATGTGGAATGGAAAAATATCTTATGAAAGACCTTAAAGCTCTCAAAATGTTAAGACTGCTGAAATTTACATTGGTTTTAGTGTATGACCCTACAGACCTTTTTATGACCAATCTTGCATTAAAATATTGTTACATGTGAGGCAGTTCAAAAAGCAACTCTAGATTATTTTACAGCAACTATTTGTTTTCTGACACTGTGTCAGTAAGAAACTATGTTGGGAAAGCAGTAACACCTTGTGTTATGGTAATATTTACATATATTAGAGATTTGTCAAAATATTCTTATGCACCTTGCAGAAAATTAGTGTTTATGAAGGTGGATGATTCAAGGCAGCCTTTCTCACAGAAATTTAAACTTCATAGCTGAAGTTTGAAGTGAAAAAGACASAGGCTACATTATAAATGTATTTTTTAAGGATTGGAATAGAAAAGTTAGAAACCCAGGATGCTAATCCTTCACAGAATTGTCATATCCATGGTAGATATTTTTGAAATGTAATGCAGTAAATTCTTTAGGAGATAAAGAAGTGTTCAATTACAGCAGCTCCAGCAGAGTGTGCGAGGCCAGCAATGTTTTCCTGAAACTTTAGGTGCATATTCCCTGTTAGAATGGATTTTTTGACCGAATTTATGGATTCACTGATTTGTTCTTAAAGCTCATACATTTGTTCTCAGTAAGATTAGATCTCCATCATATTTTTTTTAACTGTACATATGTGCATGTATATAAATAATTCCTGTAAATAAAAATACACCATTTTTCCACATCAACATTGTAATTAGGGTAAAAACCAGAGTCAAGGAGAAATCATTGCATTCTTTAATATCTTTTACATCAGACCTGAGTATCATTTTTTCTTTTCTACTCCACTAGTTGAGATCTGGTTGTTTAATTTTCTTAAGACTTTTGCTAAGCTGACCTTCCTCTTGGCATGCTGACATGCAAGAGCCTGATTTGACCTTTTTATTCTTGTTGTTATTGATTCTTTGCAGATAAACAATGGAATGGACAAAGAAAATACATTTTGCTAGATTCGCAAAAGTAACATTTCCCCTTTGACTCAAGCCTGGGGCATTGAGGATAGAAGAAAACATGTCATGTATAAATTGGGTTTTTTTTCTTGTTTTCTTTTTTTTTTTCTCCTTCAGCACAGGATACATGTTTTTATTGTGTCTGTTTTAACAAAGCTAAAAGACAGCAAACACAATCTTACTGTTGCAAACCCCAAGGAAAAAGGAATCAGGGGTTTCTTCTCAACAAAATGGCTTGATTTACAACACTTATTCAAGTACCATGTTTGTTGTTGCAGAACTGTTGAGCTAGACATATGGGTAGGATCCCATAGGGAAACAGGAGCCACATCTGTATTTTTCACTGAGATTGGCTAGGTTAAACTAAAATATCGTATAACAATATAGTTATTCTAGCCACAGTAATTACATAAGCAGAGGGATTGACCATGCATGGAAAACACTAAAATATAATTGAAAATAATTCAAACTTGAATAACAAATATGCRGTGAAGAGAGGAATGGAAATGAGAAAGCTTTGAAGTTCATGAGAAAAAATGGGTGCATACCACTTTGCAGTGCACAGACATAGTTAATGGGGAAGATCTTTAGAACAGTTCTGGATGTGGAGGTGCTTTGGAAAGCTTCCTCTGTATCCACGCTCCTTTCAGAAGCTGCTCAGCAGTATTCCTGGATCTTGCTTTATAGTCTACATGACAAAATAATTGTATATTTGCAAAAATAATACACCTGRGGGAAGAGAGAGAACTACCTTTAGCAATATGGTAAAACTCAATGGTTATAGCAGAGGTTAGTAAATCTGAAGTCTTACTAYACATGTGTTTCTCTTCAGCTTGCATTCATACAGTATGTAATAAAAATCAGCTGTGTATGCCACAAGCTAATCAACATGGAGAAAGATGCGTGTTGCAGTTTTTCTGTACAYGCTTTTTTGCATGTGATTTACATTACTGTGATTTATATTGGTCATGTTATACAAGTACATTGAACAGACAAAAGAGTTTTCTCCTTTAACATTTAATCAGTTAAAGGCTTTTATGTCAGGAAAGTATTACAGATGACTTTAGTTCCTGTGATCAGAGCTTCTGGGGCGCTATCCTGCAAGGTTTATTAGAATCATAGAATCATAGAATCATAGAATCATAGAATCATAGAATGCCCAAGGTTGGAAGGGACCTCAGAGGTCATCTAGTCCAACCCCCTGCTCACGCAGGGTCACCTAGAGCACATGGCACAGGGCTGCATCCAAGCGGGTTTTAAAGATCTCCAAAGAAGGAGACTCCACAACCTCTCYGGGCAGCCTGTTCCAGGGCTCTGTCACCCTCACTGTCAAAAAGTGTTTTCTCAAGTTCCTATGGAACTTTTGGTGCCTCAGCTTGTGGCCGTTTCCTATTGCTGGCCACCACTGAAAAGAGGCCACCCCCCTCCTCCTCACTGCCTCCCTTGAGGTATTTATASACRCTGATCAGGTCCCCCCTCAGCCTCCTCTTCTCCAGGCTGAACAGRCCCAGCTCTCTCAGCCTTTGCTCATAGGGCAGATGTTCCAGGCCTCTGATCATCCTSGTAGCCCTGCGCTGGACTCTCTCCAGCAGCTCCWCATCCYTAATAAWAATATTTYCCTTAATTCTCATTGATTTCTGTAATGAAGGCCAAGAAATACCTGTGGATTGCCAAAAATGTGAGAAACCTTTAAAACAGTGTCAGGGAGAGAAACAAAGAAGGTGTAACAGAGGGTCTTATCAATTCATTCTACAAGGTAAAGTTTTGTTTTTGGAGCAAAAATAATTTTAAGTCCAAAACTGATATGTTTTATGTTGTAGTTTTTATTGAATACTCTGAAAAATAATAGTGAGCTCATGTTACAGTCAGAGATCCTACTTAATATTAAAAGATGTTTGACACATTCCAAAATTCCTTACCTCCTTTTTCTCTAATTCTCTAATTTTTTTTTTTTTGAACTAAAGATTTCTTACATAGTTGATTATTTAGTTGACTTGTATATTTTTTTCATACTCTTAGTCTGGCAGTTCAGTTTTGAAAAAGACAAAGAAGAGAGAACCACAAAGACCACCTTCAGTGGTCTTTCTTTGTGATTTTTCTGTTTGGGATCAAGCTTTATTTGGTTGTTTAAGGGAAATGGGACACACATTTAGTCATACCTGAAGTGATATTGAAAATATATTCATTTTACAAAAAAGATAGTAACAAAATAAAATAATATAAAAAATRGCCACAGTATTTCTAGTAAAGGGAAAGTGTTTTAGCTGGCATAGTTGAGCTGGAAATAAATTTTCTTAAAAATATGATAAAGCTTACTTAGCCTAGTGGTAATCTTTTTCATTCCCTCTATTATATTTGTATTCCTCCTTATCCACTACTTATAGTGGAGGCCATAGGTGAAGGTACTGCAAATCTTTGAACAGCTTTGCTTACATGCTCCCATAAACAAAAAGCTTTGAAAGTCTCAGTGGAGAAATCTCCTCTCATTAGAATTCTGCCCAGGCTTTACAGATCAGAGAGAAAACAACTAAAACTTCCTGGTGTTTGGGTGTTTTGTCCATCTTTTGTGTTTTTAAAATAAGCTGCCACTTGCTTTGAATTCTCAGCAAATTGTCTATATCAGGCAAAGTTTTATGTTTATGAGACTATATTTACTTTTGCTCAGAAACTTCAGAAAAGTTAAAACTTTTATAACAGAAATATTCAACACAAACATGGTCATGAATTGGGAAGTGAGAAAATTTAGGAAGAGAAAGCTGCTGGAACTWATTTAGTCACGTAAAGTATATATATTTGTATTCAGTCATAATGTGTGTCCAGCTATCTGGTTTGTGATCATTTTCTTTTTTTTTTCCTCCCTTCAGAACATTTTAATTTTTGTGATGTTTTTTATCTGTTTTTATAAATATGTCAATGTCAAGATATTGTGATATGGATCACTAGAGTTGCATTATTTGGCTAAACTTCAATATAAGCCTGAAATTGAAAGTAAAAATTCTTATTTGCTACCTTAATGTTTGTATTTTGCCTTTAGAATTGCAATTATCTTTGAGTTCATGGTGGGGTATCAATTTATAAAAATTCAGCCAGTGGTTGAGATCCATTGAATCTTCATTTTAGTGGAAAACTCAATTAGAAAAAAAAAATAGTAATTTTTGGTAGCTTCAACTTAATGTGTGTTTCCTTAACATGCATGTTAATATGGATGTGTTTAGTCTTTTTGAAGGAAAATCTTGCAGAATTCTGATCTCATTTTTGAGACTAATGTCTCACCAGATTTAAAAGGCAAAATAAACAGTTTCCTACATCAGTAAGCAGTAAGCATATTGTAAGCATGAGCTCCTTATCTTGCTGATGTATTCTAGACTGAGAGAGTTTTAATGGTCTATAAGAAGTAAAATAGAAAAAGATAGTCAACAATGGAGGTGAGCAAATAAAAAGTGCAAACTTTTTATTTTATGTTTTTATGAAGCACAATTTTGCACAAACCATAAACTGTGAACTTCAGGGTACCGACTATAGRTGAGTTCCAATTCCAGTGAAGCTTTTCTAGGAAAATGTAATTAATTTCAGCCTGATKGGTTCTTTCCATGATTTTAGGGAATTAAAGGGATATCACAAGAATCTTTTCATCTTGCAGGAAGTTGTCTTTACGGAGTCAGAGATAGAGTCACTGCTCCTGCTTTATCCTCTAATAGCAAATTTAAAGGAAAGACTTCTATTTTCATGAATTCTTTCATATCTAATCTTCTCTAGGTAACTGAGACTAAGTGTCTGGGTTACTACTGGTGTGCTTATCAGCTTCTTGAAATGAATCTTGTCCTGCTGATAAATTCTGGGAGTACTATACAGGCTAGTCCTCTGTAGATAACTTTTAGATTGGAGGTGGGTAAAGGTAAATGCATAGCTTGTGATGGATCTGGAGTTTTTACATGGTATTTATATGGTATTTATATGGTATATGGTATTTATATGGTATTTTTATGGTATTTATATAGTATATTGTTTTCCATCTGTCTTTCATGCTTGTTTTTTACACATGTATGAAGATATGCATATATTCTTACCAGTGAAAAGCTTATCTTGGTTGCCACCTTGAGAATCAGATTGTACAGAGCTAACCGTGTAGAAATGAAACTTTATGTAAATGCAAGTACTTAAGGCAACATTATTAACATGATTTTCCTCCAGGGTTTAGTGACCCCCAAGCTAAGCCAGTTCTACTGGCCTCTTAAAACCTATTTGGAAGATTATATGGCTTTTTTGTTTTATCAAGCAAAATTTCATTTAATTGAAAAGTGATATCCTGTTTATGTGTTTTTTCCATTTTCAAGTACTGTCTGCCATTTGGCTTCAGAATTTGCATCACAGGCAACCCATGCAGTAGTCACTATTTCATCTAAAATATGCCCTGGGTTAGTTTCTTGTGGTGTCTTGGTTTTCAGGATATGCTGCAGTTCCAAAGGGAAGCCAAATAAATGGGTACAATAAACCATGACCATTTTGATCTGACATAATAAGTGCTTTAATAGTTTATTGTATGAGAACCTCAGGGTTCACTGTAGGGGGGAAAAAAAAAAAAGAAGGTTTAAAAGCTTATGTACTGTGGCCAGTCTGCTTTGATCTACAAGAAAAATCAACATTTTTATTGTTCAATTGATTCTTGTTAATTAATTTATTTACATGCTGGACTAATATTTAGCATTTATTGTAAGACCTTGTGGTCTTTTTCTGTTTGTTTTTTGTAAAATTGTAAAACAGTCTAGACTGAACAAGACCAGTTGGTCCAAACCCTGCTGAAGGAAGAATAAGCTTCAAAAACTAGATCAGGTTGCTTAAAGTACAGCTGAGTTACGGATGTCTCCGATGATGGAGACAAGAGCAACCAGAATACGGATTTCTGAGATTTTCCATGTCAGGGGTAGAACACATAGCAAGTTCCAGACCCTATTCACAGCAAAATTGTTGATAGTGGTCATAAATATAATTTAATCATTATATCAAATGATTTGAGAAACACATGGAGGAAAGGTTAAATGAATGGTCTATGTAGAGTTCAGATAAAAAAGAATAACAAGATAGATATTCATTTGAGTTTTATTTATTTCAGTGCTCAGAAAAGTACGTATTTATAAGCTGAAAGTTCAGCTGAGTTGTTGCAGTAACCAGCTTTATCAACAAATTTTCTTTGAGTTATCCATTCTAAAAGTATTTGAATTGCATCTTAACACTGTTAGTATTACCTAGAGTACAGCTTTAAACTAAAACAGAATTTTAGTATTCCTATCCTATTTTTACTCCAGTTGGAATATAAGACTACAGTCGGTAAAGTTCATTATCTCTACTTGAATAAATTAATGCACTCACATCAGTAACACCTCCCACTGAAAGTATTGGTCTCTGCAGAGGTAAATATCAAGGTGTACTGTTACTTTCTGCACAGATAATGTTTAATGATATGTTCCATTTTGGTCATGTTTGAAGGAAGCATGAAACATACTAGAATGAACAGTCAAAATGCAGTCCCCTAACTGTCTCAATGCACTGCCCAGAGCTCTAGACTGAAAAGCAACTTAGGTTGCTGGGGTATGCATTTAATTTATTTTTAATTTAATTAATAAATATTGCATTTAAAACCATCAAAACTGCTTCAACTAGTGGTAATCTGAATTACTCACCCAGTGCTCTGAACAGCTCCAAATGAGTTATCTTTTTTTTTTTTTTTACAGCCTGAAAGTTCAGAGGTGTTTGGATATCCCTGCTCCATATGTAGACTACAAAATAACTTTCATTTCCAGCCACTGTTTCTAGTCACTTTCAGAGGTGATCAAAAATTGTTGCTGTAAAAGAGATTCCCATCTTAAATAGCATGAGAGGAATTTCTGGATAGCTCAAACATTCTCTGCAGAAGTTTCTCTGAAACTTTTAAAAAAATGTTCTATATCTTATAAAGGCTTTAGAAGTTTATAACACAAGTATTACAATAATTTCTCATAGTTCAAAATATTCCTATTTTCCACGTGCTATCTTCAATCATCAGAATAAAGCCTTTGGCCAGCCTGCTTTTAAGAGTGCATGGATCCTATTTTATGGGATATGTACAACAAATTAACTACAGGAAAAATCATGTGAATGAAACAGCCTTGCCTCAAAGGTTTATGCAAGACCAATACAGTAGTCAAGGCACATATAATTAATGTATCATTGAARGAGTGGGACCAAATAGCATTTGTTGAAAGCAGTAAATCACTAAAGTGATGTTGTATAATGGCTAAACAAATAATAAAAAAAGAGCATTCTCTTATTAAATCCCAATATTGATTTAAATATCCTGTTACTTTTCAGTTGGAGAGAATCCAAGGGAATGCCCTGCGCTCACTGATTTTGTGTGCTGGAACAAGAATTGCATAGAGTCTCAGTTTGTCTGTGACTATAAACCAGACTGTGAAGACCTGTCAGATGAAGCTGACTGTGGTAAGTATCTCTTTGTGTATTAATATAATCTCCAGTTAAAATGCTAGCTTTAAATTCTGCAGCAGAGTGTAGTTGCGTTCACRCAGCTGCTCAATAAAACATAATTTCATACAGTTTGTCTGATCCCCCAACACAGGAAGTCTGACATTTTCTAATTCTTAGAGACACAAAGTATTTTAGAATGATTTAGCCACAAAGTGAAGCGTACACAAAAAAAAAAAAAAAAGGATTAGAAAAGAAGATTTTTTTAAGGGAGAAAAATCTATGGGTTGCAATATAAATTATAACTTTTAGAAAAAATGTGAAATAATTTACCAATTTGAAAGCATTTTGAGCTGTCAATATTGAATGTAAAAAGCTAAATAAGCAAATTAATGACAGTAGCATTTAGATACAATTCTACTATAAAAAGTGATTGTATAAATAAGGTATGCCTTTCCCTTCAAATTAGCCCTGTCTCTGTGATCTTAGTTGTGTCAGTGCAATATATTCATTGTTTATTGCTCTTGCCAATACTGCAGAATATCAAGAAGGTGTGAGTTGGTTTATTATTTTCTACTATACTATTACAGAACAGTGGGAAAAAATGCAGTTTGTTCATGTCTTTGCAATCCCAGTGAGGACTAAGACAAAATTTGCCTGCAGGAATTCTTTACTAGCACTGTTTGAGATGGAAGTAGACAACTCGGTTTTTAAAATCTTAATCAAGTTAATAGGATATACAATTACATTCAAAATTCAAAAGCAAACGTTGATTTGAAATCAAAAACATTGTGTCCTTGCTGCTTTTCCAATTCTCTTTTTATTTACAGTCAGTTTTCAGACAGACTTTTARAGAAGGAAAGCTAAATAGCTCATATATGTCTCTGTGTTGAATTCTTAATCATGAAGCCACAGGGCCACACTGATACTTTACATATGATCAAAAATTATTTTGATATACAGAAAAAGTAAATGCATCACTAGTTTATCTGTGCAGAACTGGTACTCTGTTGAAATATGCCAATACTGAAATGTGCCAATACTTATTGTTGGCCTATAGCACATTTGTAATCATAAATTAGATCATCTTGCATGAGAACTTTATAGAATATAAACAATTTCTTCAGTCTAAATATGGAGATCTCTTTCAACCTTATCTTTTGAGGGAGATAAGAACTGTTCAATCCTAAAAGAGAACAGAATAGACACAGGAAAARTCCTTCATATTCTCACCTGCCCCCATAACCTTGATTAGGGGCACATCTGTCCACAGTTTCCTCCTTTTCCTTCAGTTCAAGATCTGGAGCTGATTCACATTCTATTATAGTTTTAGATCAGCACAGCTCCAAAATAATCCATGGGCCATTATCCACTCAGGAACATTTCCTCTGAGCAAGATAAAAGAGACTGCATAAAATGAATTGTATCCACATAGGCTGTTGCAACCGTTTTTTTTTTCTTAAACAAACTCACAGAAATTACTTATTGTATGCTTCATTCCATCCAATCTTGCAAAAATTCCATTTTCTTTCAGAAAGTCATTGGAAGTACTGAGGTGAAAAAACACATGTGAAAGCAGTTTCAATTTTCATGAAATGTAGTCAATTATATACCCAAATTTGATTAATAGCAAGCTTCACTGTTGATGAACCATCTAGAGCAGTTCTTGAATTATTGAAATAAAAGCAATTTTTCAGATAAATGGAACAATCTTTTCTCATGGCTTCTAAATAGATTTTGCATCCAAAAATCTGTTTCTATTCTGTTTTCATCCAAAATAAAAAGTAACCTTCAGGTACAGAAATGTCAGGTGACTTCAGCAATTCTGTAAATACTGTTCATAAATATTCATTATTAATTGCATTCTGAATGCACTGTTGCTAGAGCAAATTGTCTGAAGTCAGGCAATATATTATGAAATCTAAATGGAGTTTATCTTATTAGAACTGTATAGGATAACTGCACTTGCTGTTGAGATGCCAGATCCATTCTTAACAGCACCTTCATATGAAGCCTTTTAGTGGTGGAGCTAGGCTTTTTTTAGGGCTATTTTCTTCCATGATTCTCAAAGACCAGTCTACAGACAGCATTAACATACAGATCCTCCTCTAGCATTATGTGTTACATATGTTATTCATTGGCACTTTTCCTAAACAGACACCTTTACTAAGGTGACTTTTTCTTTTACAGAAAAACAAGTCAGCAGGGGTGACTCATTTTTCTGTGCAATTCTTGGTCACTCAAAAAGGTGATATATACATAACCCTCATGAGAGTGATTCAATAAAGTTTATAAAAAATGTTTAAAAGACATTGTTCTGGTATTTTTTTGGCCATTCACCTTGAATAATAACCAAAATTGAAGTGATCTGTATTGTGAAAACTTACATAGGCATATATTTGTAACAATATAGCCAAAGGGGATCCTTTCCATGCAAGAAAGTATTCAAGATATGTTCATTATAGTCTCCTAGATTTGAGAGCTAAGACACTAATTTGCTTCTTGATGTATTTTCAGGTTACTATACAAGTATTCCTGGAAGTTGCAACTTTGAATCACAGGAATGGACCACTGCATGTGGATTAACACAAGACTCTAGTGATGATTTTGACTGGACTATTAAAAACAATGCTGTCACTGTGCAAACAGGTCCTGATGCTGACCATACACCAGGTATTAGAATATATGCTACATCAGCTTTGGGAAAATGAAATATTGATTGACTTACAAAACACCATGAGAATACTCTGTAGATTATTGTGAAGATAAATGGCAAATCTCAATGTGACCAGTTGCGCTTACTGTATATCAACACAAATGATAATGAGTAATTAACACAATGTATGAAGATAATTGGAACATTTAAAGTTCCTACAAGCATTTAAAATATACTCTTTTATATTAACTTTACAATGGAGGATAGATATCCTTCCACCCCCCCCAAAAGAAAAAYGCAGAACTCAATTGAATTTTTTATGTATTGAGTCTTATCATTTATGCCATCTGGTAACCACTGGTTTTCTCTGAATATGACAACAAACAGGCCTTATCAACCTTTTTAATTATAGCTTCAGCAGTAGTGTAATTTTATAGATTGCTCTTTTCAAAGTGGTCCTGATTATATCATTCTTTATTCCCCGCTTTCACTTGAGCATTTATTTAGTCATTTCCTAAACAATGGGCTGCTAAATATAAAGATACTGGTTAATCATCACATCTAGGAAGGAACAGATGCCTTTTAAAATAGCACATCATATTCTACAAATGCACTAACTTTGAAGATCCACATAATGGCTGTTAATTATAGGCTTATTTAAAAACTTTTTTAGAACTACAGAAATAATTTTTTTAAYACAGCAAATAGGATACATTTGGTGATAGATATGGGTCACTAAGATTTGCTATTAGGTCTTGCTCAGACATGCTGCAATGGAAAATCCATGCTCTGCTAAATGGCAGCAAACATTTGGATGAACAGAGGTGCAAATAATAGCATTTAAGCTACCCACTTCTCATCATTTACCTGAGCAGAAAATGTAGAGTTTATGTTCAGCGGCAGCCTGAATGAGACTGTCTGATAACCCTCATTGCTTTGCAGTCAGTCTCCAGAAAGCCTTGTTGCATTGCAGATGTGCTTATTGGCAGCTCCACAGAAGTACCCGCTTTCTGTTTCTAATATCAGTTTGAGCTCCCATGAAACAATATCTTGTCTTGCTGCTAAGATGTCATGCTGACTGCTATTCTGTGCACATTCAGGGGGAGTGCCATGAGTAAGGGAAATAGAGCAGGCCAGGCCTCAGCACTTTGGCTTTTAATGGTTTATGCTAAAGAAAAGAAGTTAAAGGAACAGATTTCCTCATTCTGTTTCATGTCTAGATCTGTGAGAAGATGCTTTCCAGTGCACATTGACTTGATAAAATCCCAGAGGTGAAGCTCAGGGACTGACTTACCAAAGTAATATGTAATTGACAATTTTCTTCTTTTAGTTATTTTTCCCAAATTAATATTGAAATGGAATATTTTCTAAGGTCTATATTCAAAAGTTCTGCAGATAGTACAAGCCAAGTGGCTTTTAAAGCTCAGAATGGGCAGTTTGTTTACACTTTTAAAAATCATTTAACCCTAACTAATGTTTTAGAACTTTTTTGTTGTTGTTATCTTCTCCCAATCCCCACCATTGCATTTTCATTGCCTATGAGTAGCATTTTGCTTGCTCCTTCTAGAATTTGCTGGATTCAAGTGGAATACATATATATATATATAATACATATATATATGTATTATATATATATATATATGGAAGCTTGTGTCTCAGTTCCCAGTACTCTTGATATCTGTAAATGGTACTTCATTATGCATGACAAATTTCTTCTGTACAAAAAAGTCTGACTTCAAGAACTGAACTCTCTGAAAATGTAACTAGCCATGATAGTGCTGTGCTCCTTATCAGCAATCTGATAATCTGCTTTTCCTGAAGTTTGATATAATCCTGATGAATTCTAGAGAAACATGCAATTATACACATACATCATAAACAGTGAACATGTATGGTACCTTAAGGTTCATTATTAAAATGTTGATTTAACTTCTCATTCTGATAGTGGCTAGCCAAAAATCTTAATGCAAAAGAAATGTTACCTGTATTAGCATTCCTCTACAAGATATTATAGTCATACTGTTAGCAGAACACCTATTGACTGTTACAAGAACAAAATATATTGATAGGCTATTACACTTATCTGTGTTATGCAGACAGCAGGCTATAATGCTACCTTGGAATTTTATTTCCTACATAAATGTAAAAATCCTTTTTCAAAAAGTGTTTACTCTTTCTACTTTTTTTTCTTTAGAAGCTTATTCCAGGATCTTACTGCTTTACTACTTTAATGGTTAGGAACCTTCTCATAATTTTCATCAAACTGGATGAAAATTTTAAATATTAATTTGAAAAATGACAAAAAAAAAATCTGTTCAGTGCAGAAGGTATTGATATCTACCTTCTTTCTTTTGTATGTGTGASCATCATGATTTCCATGTGTTTGACTCCTTTTTGATATTCTAAGTTTCTGAAATAAGCATATAGRGGCATCCTGTCACAAGATGACTGGAAGAGTTTCTATCCTATATGTTTATATCTCCTTTCCCTTTAGAGTGTCCCACACCTTGTGCAGGAACTGCTCACCTGCTCATGAGAGCACTACTTATCTGCCACAAATCAGTTTCTCATTTTCAAGCAAGCAGATCCCTGTATTACCTTGTGTTGCTATTCCGGACCATAAGTGTAGCAGTTCAGCAATTTTCCTCCTAAAAAGGGAGCAACAAACAAGTGGAAACTGTAATAGCTCTTCCAGACAAGCTCGCACTTGTAAGTCTCGCTTGGAAATTTTGTGTGATTTTCTATATCAGTTCCTCTCATTTAATTGGAGACTCTTCATTTTTGTGAAATTATCCACAAAAATAAAGTTTAAAAATAAAGTTAATAAAATAAAGGAAAACAAAATGAGATCAGAACTGTCTCCAAAATTACCTACATTTGTAGATAAATTGTAAATTAACTGGGCAAGAAATACATTAGCTACAGAAAATAATGAATCACTCATCAGAATTGCAACAATCTAGATACTGAATGCCTGTAACTAATACTGACTAACCTGAGATCCAGGTATCTCAGCCTCTTCCTGATCCAAAGCCAATTCCTTTGTATTCTAAAATCATTTCTCTAGTTCATATGTGTATACATCCATGGCACAGTCCATGTGTGCCAGTATAGCAATATAATGAAGCCAATGATATTATCCCAACTTTGTATACTAAGTCGACAAGAGTAAGCARACTAAGTAGAGAGACAACTTTGTATGGAGGATTCCCATTTTTCCTCATTTTGCACATTCATGTAAATCAATGTAATGGATTTCAAATGGATGGAAATGTTCTTATACAAAAAGTTTGCATCCAGTTAACAAAACTAACACATCACACATATGCACTCTCTAGGAGACAAGAAGATCTATAATTTGAATGCCAAGACTTTCGGCAATGAATAATAACTTCTTCACCCACTTAAACCTCTTCCAGAACGTAACTTATCTAGCTCTCACCTCTAAAATTTTCCTTTACAAAAATATCCTTAGATCATTMCTCCCTGCTGAAAAACAGAATGCTTCCAAACTTTTGCCACTACCTGCCATGAGCTGCTTAAATATTTAGGAGACATAGTTGATCCATCAAAATATTTAGCCAAATGGCAAAACAAACTTATTTAACACCTAGCATGATGTGGAGCCAGGAATTTTAGTTTTCCATTTTTTTCTAAGCAGTATGTAAGCATTTTATTTATGAGGAATATGGTATATCCCTGCCATTGTAGTCTTTCAAATAGCTTTTTCTCACCTGAGAAAGTTTGCATGTAATATTTCTTCAAAAAGCTTGACACAGAAGATGATACCCAGAAAACATAACCTTAAAACATCATCTTGAATGATGATGACTTGAAAAGACTGCAMGAGAAAATAAGAGCATTTCCATGATAATCATTACAATTTGCAAATCATCCAAATTCAGGGAAATGACAGTCATACAATCAGATTGAGATTCAAATTGTGTAAGTCTCACTCTGCACAAGTGATCATTTGCAGGTAATGTTGGCATTCTGGATAGCAGTTTGAAAGCCCATCACATATCTTTACTTTGTGAGTGAAAGATCTAAAAATCAGTGACTGATTTATGTCAAAAGAAGAAGGCAGAACACATTTTTTTATCCAAATGCCAATGGGAGGGAGGGCAGAGAAGATGCTTTATTCATACCAGCCCATGTAGGCGGTTCTGCTGTGGTGGGGTAGCCTCCAGTCATGGAACACAGGCATTCTTTATTCTGAAATGCTAAATGATGGCCTTCCTGGAAGACATAAGAGGGATGAGTGTCTTGAGTGTGTTGCAGAGCTCTTGCAGAGCCATGCTTAGAGTGCTTGAAGGAATATTTAATAAATATTCACCATTACTAACAACCCGTGGATACATGGCACTAAAAGAGAATTCTTGCTGAAAAATGTATTCTGCCTTCTTCTTTTGACATGACCAGTCAAGTCGTATGAAGAAGCCTTACGAGGCTACCCATATCTGCTACGTACTGACTTACACTATTTTATCTGTTRAAGCCAACCATATTGATAACCCAGCTTGGTTCACACCAGTAGTAGACTCATAACTGCTCCTGAGCAAGTCAATGCTCTAAATGCTGCTCTAATCCTATTGTGAGTAAAACCAGTCCAGAGTTACAAAAGGGAGTCCAGAGGGAGGCCTGAGAGTGCACTTAACTTTTATAAAATATGCTCTTAGTTAAAACGCACACCTTCCTCACCTCCCGTAGTTGCAGTATCTCCCATTAGGTCAAGCAAAGTCTCAGCCATTATGAAGCCTACTGCTTGTAAAGGACTGGGAAGTTCACTTAAAACTTCCTTTGTGAGGCTGATTGAAGGTTACCTGACTTCCCCAAAGAACAGTAGAAAACATGGATGTCCTGTACTACTTATGGGCTGTCATGGCTCAGGTGTGTTCCCCACTGCCATGCTGAACAACTGTGAGTTTTCCTGGGTAGCTGCAAAGTAGCAAAGGTGCTCTTGGCTCCTGCAGCACTCCTTTAGTGCAGTCTTTAGAGCTTTTGAGTGTGTGTCTCCATGTTCACAATATTTAAAAGGTTTTATTCAAATATGAATCAAGTAGTTACGCAAGGGTAAAAAGGAAGTATTAGCACGGTTGAGGATCATAGAATCATAGAATCCTTAAGGTTAGAAGTGACTTTTAGAGGTCATCTAGTCCAACCCCCCTGCACACGCAGGGTCACCTAGAGCACGTGGCACAGGGCTGCGTCCAAGTGGGTTTGGAAGATCTCCAGAGAACTCCACAGAGGACTCCACAACCTCTCTGGGCAGCCTGTTCCAGGGCTCTGTCACCCTCATCATTAAGAAATTTTTCCTTCAGTTCCTGCAGAACTTCTGGTGCTTCAGTTTGTGGTCGTTTCCTCTAGTGGAGTRGCTGATAGCCCTGAGGGCTGTGCTGCCRTCCAGAGGGACCTGGACAGACTGGAGGRCTGGGCRGCGAGAAACCTCATGAGGTTCAACAGGGGCAAGTGCAGGGTGCTGCACTTGGGGAGGAATAACCCTGGACACCAGTACAGATTAGGCGTGGACCTGCTGGAGAGCAGTCCCGCAGAGAGGGACCTGGGTGTCATGGTGGACGACAAGTTGACCATGAGGCAGCAGTGTGCCCTGGTGGCCAAGAAGGCCAACGGGATCCTGGGGTGCATTAAGAAGAGCGTCTCCAGCAGGTCGAGGGAAGTGAGGCGACATCTGGAGTACTGCGTCCAGTTCTGGGCTCCCCAGTACAAGAGGGATGTGGAGCTGCTGGAGAGAGTACAGCGCAGGGCTACGAGGATGATCAGAGGCCTGGAACATCTGCCCTATGAGCAAAGGCTGAGAGAGCTGGGTCTGTTCAGCCTGGAGAAGAGGAGGCTGAGGGGGGACCTGATCAGCGTGTATAAATACCTCAAGGGAGGCAGTGAGGAGGAGGGGGGCGGCCTCTTTTCAGTGGTGGACAGTGATAGGACTAGAGGAAATGGCTTCAAACTGAAGCATCAGAAGTTCCACAGGAACTTAAGGAAGCATTTCTTCACTGTGAGGGTGACAAAGCACTGGAWCAGGCTGCCCAGAGAGGTTGTGGAGTCTCCTTCTTTGGAGATCTTTAAAACCYGCTTGGATGCAGCCCTGTGCCACGTGCTCTAGSTGACCCTGCGTGAGCAGGGGGGGTTGGACTCGATGACCTCTGAGGTCCCTTCCAACCTTCGGCATTCTATGATTCTATGATTCTAGTTCTGTCAGTGACCACCACTGAAAAGAGGCCGGCCCCCTCCTYCTCACTCCCTCCCCTGAGTTATTTATAGACACTGATCAGGTCCCCCCTCAGGCTTCTCTTCTCCAGGCTGAACAGGCCCAGCTCTCTCGGCCTTTGCTCATAGGGTAGATGTTCCAGGACCCTGATCATTTTCATAAAGATGTTTTGGATTTGTATACCATGATAAATACCAGTATCTGCACATGTAAAACTTCATCTTATATTCTAATGTATGCAGTAGCACTAAAAAACTGTATTTTCTTTAAATCTTTTTATCAAGGTAAAGGACATATTTTTTTGTATGTAAACTCGTCTGCCCAAAAGGAAGGAGACAGAGCAAGGATAATTACTACTAAATTCTTCCCTGCCAGCCTTGGAGTCTGTAGAGTTCGATTCTGGTTCTGGCTGTTTGCTTCTAGGCAAACAGGAGTCTTAAAGGTAAGAGAAAAAGCAGTTCCAATAAATCATCCTATAGCATTTGCATTTCTATGTCTAGCATGATCTAAATCTCAAAGGTAATATTAGCTGTACTTCATCACAAATTCACTGTTGATTACACCTGTGTACAATTTTGTTCCCAAACAGATCAATGGTGAAAATTTTGCGCTAGTCCAGATTCATTSAAAATCACCTTAGTAGAAAATCATATGTAAGTCAGCATAGCATATTTGTCTATTAGCATATTTTATTATTATACTTAAAACTATTGAGCACCAGCATAGTTTTTCTATCAGCATTTAACATAAAACAGAGGCAAATTCCAATATAAATTTCAAAAACAAGACATATATTAAAAGAGAAGCTTTAGACATATTACTGTCCCTATGTACAGAGAGTGTTTAATTAAAATAATTGGAAATAAAACATCTACCCATATGAATAATTACATGTCAAGCTTCCATAAAATTGTCTTCTTGACGTTTTTCCAAGCCTCCTTAATGGCCCAATTTTAAATTGTTACATACCTAGTAAAAACCCAAGCAGTGATGTGAACCTTTGGCAGRCAGCTCATTTCATATGGCTCACCGAATAAATGTCGTGTTAGACAGTCAATCATTTAGTGGTCCTAGCTATGCCTCCTATGTGTGGCAGTTTGTTAAATTCAGCAATTTACCACACATATGTGAAAATGCAGGTGATGTCRTTTTTACTACATGTGATGGAATATAAAACTTTGCATGTAGCATCAGCCTCCTGAATCAAATTWGTCTATATTGGAAATATGCAAGGATTTTGGGTTTGTTAGTGTTATTTTGTCTGGAACCAATAGTAAAATAAGGAATTTTGGACCACTAAGGAAGTTTAGATCACAGTTGATTCTATTTAGCTTTTGTCTGTTTCTCTGCCTCATATACACCCAATTGAAAAGGAGTTCAGCACAGTTTCATAGGATTATAATATAGTTCAGGTTGGACAGATCTTCAGGGTGTCTATAGTCCAACCTCCTGCTCAAAACAAGGTCACCTATGAGATCAGACCAGGCTGCTCAGGGCTTTATCCAGTTTATTCTTTAGAATTTCCAAGGATGCACATGCTTTCTGGTCAATCTGCGCTACTGCTTGACTGTATTTGAGCTGAAAAAGTTTCTCTTAAAATTCACTTGCAGAATTATATTACCTCATTCCACCTTTTCTCTAACTTACTTSAAGTAATTTTTCAGCAAGTTTCCTTCTTAGTTTTATCTCTACTACCTAATTCATTGAGACTGTGKGTATAGCAATAAAACAAATCATTAACAAAGAATACATGATATTACATGAAAATGGTATAAGCAGACATATTCTGTATAGATAGTGAATAAGAATGCTCAGAAATGTGTGTTCTCCAAAGATATTTCAGTTATTCAATATGAATTTTTAAGAAGTGTTTATACAACAATCTTATTTGAATATATATTTTAAAATACTGCTCTATATTCTTTCAAATTTACATTGTATTCCCATAGTTTGCATGTTAAGATTAAGAAGACAAAACAGTAGGTAAAAGTCAAGAGCAATTTCAGCCTAAGTAGAAATAAAAAACAATTGATCGTTATGGGTATTTCACTTTTTTCATGCAAACTTATTTTCATGTGATGTATTTCATCGGCAACTCTTTTTGTTATTTAATCAAGAATATAAATGAAACATAGTCATTTGACTCAAAAAAAAAAAAAAAAAAAGAATAGCAAAAAAACTCCTAATTTAAAAAGCAACAGCTCGGTGAAGATTTTTGCTCAGGTTGCAGTAGAGACAAAAAAAAAAGATTTGAATTCAAAATATACACTACAGAGGCAGAAGGTATTCAGATACAGGTAACTAGAATGACCTAAGGCATAGAGCATCTGTACAGAGAAAGAAGGGTGAAAATAAGGAAGGATGTCTTGGTACAGAAAGTAGACAACAGTAAAATAACATAAAATAACATTTTTAATAGAATAAAAAGGGGAGAGGAGGTCAGTTCTTTTCCCCAAAGAGGGAATATTCACTGAGTACAAAAGGAAGATCTGGAGTGCTTCTGTGTTCACAGTGCGTGGACTTCACTTCCAGAATATTATTACCATAAGCTTTTTAATTTGCAATAAGATTACTAAGGCATAGGGTATTATTATTTTTTAAGTATACCATGTTTATAGCTCTTGCATTAAAATACAAGGGTAGTAGTTAAAAGAGATCTGAATACTGATACTTTGGGACATCAGCCAACCATTAGCTAGCAAACAAATCAAGTTATTTCATAATGTTTTAGTACCAAGAAATGTAGCTTTTCTTAGGAGTATTTGGTAACAGCCTTTGATGGGAGAGTTATCTCATTACAGCACTAATTACAGGRCTTGTATGAGGTATTAATATGCTCTGAATAAGAGTAGCTTTAAATATAAATATTTTATTATGTTATCGTACAAGTGTAAATTTAAAAAATGTATTTATCTTTACTATTTGGCAGCTAATTGTATGTAAAGACAGTAAGAGAGGATTTTCAGCAAGAAATGAAGTTTATTTTAACATGTTTTTAATTGCAGGGTCACATGTTTTTAATTACATTGTCACCTGTACAAAGAGATGGAAAACAATCAGTTTTCATGCAGCTTCAGCATTCCTTCCCTTTAGGTTTACTTCAGTAGCTTGTCATAAAACGGAAATTAAAACTAAAATTAATTCCTGATGGGATAGTATAATTCTCATACACTGTTTTTTTTTCTGCCTTGATGTTTTTAATCCTAAGAGAAATTGCTACAAACTGAGGTGCAGTAATAATAAATATAGCTTTTTTATTACCTCAAATTAATTTTTAAAGAAACAAATAGATTATAACTTTTTAAAGTGCTTTCCTAATGTGACAGTGAATTTTGATACAATTTTTCTAATTTATTTGTGGACTTCAGAGAAACAAAGTTCATTTTTCCTCTAGTGTCCTTCAGTCCAGTAAGATGTGTAGCGATGGAGTCTGTGGGAGCTCTACTCAGCTGATACTAGCGCAAGGTACCTAATAAAGTCAAAGTATGAGAAAAGATTCTCCTGCTTCCTTGACTGGAGGTTAAGGAGTATGCTGTAGGAGGATTGGAAGACATATCTTTTATTTTGCAGCCTTCAGATCTGCGTTGGCTTTTTAGTTATAAATCAGTTAGTTAACTTTCCAGATGGATTATAGTACTTCGCAGCATGCCATCAGCTAGAGTCAGGGAAGATCAAGATAAAAATGTATTATCTTGAAGAGTCAGCACGAGGGCAAAGAATAACCAAATGCAAATGCCTAGACAGAAAACAATGTTTTATATTCCATGGTGTTCGAAAGTAAATACATTCTTAGCCCAAAAATGAAATAGAAGGTGAAAAAAGAGAATTCAGAGGTCTTTAACACAGAGAATATGCCACAGAGAATTAGATCTGAGTCATGATTTTAAGACAGGGAAATAGAATTTGCTAAAGAATGCAGTTCACATACRGACTATAAATGAACCAGCTTGCAATAGCATCTTGGAGAAAGACCAAGCAGCAAGTACTAAAGCTTCCCTCACACATTCACTTTATGGAGATTATCATGATGAATTCTTCTTAAAATCACAATGAAGTGTGTACTGGGGTATCTTCAGTCTTGAACATTTCACTTTGATGTAAATGTTGTTGTAGGTGTAGCTGTATTTCTGTCGCTTTCTGCTCTTTATGATCTGGGACAGGTATGCAACCTAGAAATGAGGAAAATTCCAGAATGAGGAATGGATAAGCACAGTGACTAGTTACTACAACATGTGATTACTTTAAATTAAAATGATGGAACTATAGGAATATTATCAGTATTGCCAGCAACTCCATAAGCATTACCTGTAGCATGGTTTTCCCCTGGTCGGCTTGGTTTTCACTGCAGATTTCATTCATTATATATTTTATTTATAATGGCAAGTTTGTTCCTCCTTCCCATGTTACAACTACACTACCAGGTTAGCTTGTATGCAATTCATACTGTGTACTGTATTTGTGTAGTTATGTTTGTTCAGGGACAGATGTAGCAGTGTCTGGAGGCTCTTTTGAAAAGGCCAGCAAAAATGCTGTATACAGCACTGAACGTTTACTTAGAAAACACTTGACATGGTGTTGACCCTGGTGAAGAATATGGTGTTGCAATACATTCAATTTCTGTGAGCRTAATTTGAGAGAGAATAAGATCTCTATTGTCAACTAAAGTAACAGACTCCCTGTGCTTCCCAATTTTCTGAGCTCCATTGTAATCTCATTTGATTTTGTTTATGTTTCAATTTAGATAGTATTATCTAGAAACTGCAATTGCAAAAAAAAATATAATCTGCATAAAAAGGCCACAGCTCCTTCCCTGAGGTGGTTGTGACTTGTAGTAGTGAAGTGACAGGATTTAGATATTACAGGAGGCAGAAAATGTGATGGAAATGTGCAAGAAAAAGTGGAACAGAACCAGGAACGAGCCTGAGGTTTCTTATGCACCACTTCAGAGTTTAACACRAAATTCTGTTTCCACAGGTTACTTATATTTTGTTTTGAGAAATTGTATATTCGATTTAAATTTGAGTCAAACAACTGAAGACAAAAACACATAAATTAACACAGGTTAACTAATCTGTAATAATTGGATGTCTTCATGCTCTTGGTAAATATGAGTTAAAATGGAAGGGGAAGAAGAAGGGAAGAAATATAAAATTAATTTGCATCTATGAGGACAGAATCCAGTATAATGTAAAACCATCCCAGACCTATTGGCCAGTATACAGTAGGCTTCATGATGGGTATATTGGTTTTACYGAGTGTGAGCTGAATGCTTAGGCTGTACATACACAGGAAAATTCCATGTTCCATATGTTCAGCTTGCACATGATGTGGTTTCTCTGCATATAGACAGAACTACTCCAGCAAGCCAGAGGCCTTGGAATCTATGCCATGATAAACTTCAGCAGACTAATGATAAGGGATGGAAAAGGCCAACTAACTAACCTCCGTGCATGGGTCACTTAAATGCCCAGTTGAAGGACTCTTAACTCTGATAATTGTCTTCAAATATTTTCAGTTCTTTCCTCTTTCCCTAGCAGAGTTTATATTGTGTATCTATGAGACTTTTCAAGGAGATATATTAAAAACTATAGTTACCTCAATATTCTCCTTACAAAAATACTATCACTATAAGATATAGTAATAGCTAAAGCCAAAGGAACTGACACTGTTACATACTGCAAGATTTGAAATCATTGGGGCTGTAGTATTTCATAATTGATAAGATAGGGAATGGTTGTATTGACACATACAGATGTTGCAACATAATTCTGTCTGTATATAGAGTTATTCTAATGAAGAGATTGAGCTTACTAAGGACCTGAAACCTGATAATGAGTGCTSTTTGTTTTTGTGATTTGAGTCAACTATTTCTTCTTCTTCACAGTTTCTTCTCACTGTAGACATGCAGAACACATGCTTTTTAAAAGATGAGGTGCTGGAAGGTAGCTGTTACACAACCCAGTAACAGAATGTCAGGGCTGACTAAATTAGATCCAGATGCTGTTGTGCCTAATTTAGGTTATTGTACATCAGTCTGCTTGCTGCTCTCCTTCTCAAAAAAAAAAAAAAAAAATCCAGATGCTGTTGTGCCTAATTTAGGTTATTGTACATCAGTCTGCTTGCTGCTCTCCTTCTCAAAAAAAAAAAAAAAAAAAAAAAAAAAGTGCAAAACTCTCTGGGCATTAGAGCTATTTTAGGCTATGAAACAACATCTATAAAGTATCTGATTCAAGGTGCCATGCGGGTTTTTAGCTTATCTGTCCTTGTAGATTGGTTAGGAGATGGAAAGCTTTGTGATTTTACAGACTATCAGTAGAGATTTAAGGTTAACATTTTCTCAAGTCTTCTATTTTGTATTTCTTTGTATTCCATCATTTCACTGAGAGGCTCAAGTGGGAATCTGAACGCTCCAGCATCAGTGGATATTAGTCTCAAAGCTTAAGAGAATGATTATATTGACAGTAAGGAAGAGAAGATAATGAATCCAGTTGTCTGTTCCTTAAAGGAATAACTATCATCTGGAATGGATGGAATATCTCGACTTTCCTTAATCAATTGTTTTTCACTGTTTCTGACTTCATTGAGATTGCATAAGAATTTTTGAGACCCTAGTGGGAAGAGAAACTATCTATTTAATCTGTGGGTTGGCTGTGAGTGGCATTATTTTATCACTTGTTTTGTTGTGAATTCTTTTGTTGTTGTTCCAATTACTTTTGCTGCTTGATTTTTTTTTAATTTATCATATTTCTTTTTATGCTGTTGTTTTGTATGTCTGTACTAATTAACAAACACTGCCTGAAATATTATTATAAATTGCTTGTTTTGTCTTTCGTTGTCTAGATTATAGACTGAAATTCCTACATTCTGAACCTTTTGTTTTTATCTTTAAAATCTTTACTCAGTCTAACCACTATGAGAGAGTCACTTCTTAGAGAAGATTCTTCTCAGTCTTTACCTCAATACGTAGATGAATTTTGGATTATATCTTTACTCATTAGCATCTATACATCAGGCCAATAAGCTTTCCCATTGTATTAGCAGTGTTTTTTTATTTTATTTTGCTTTAGGAAAACTGTAAGAAACTGTACTACTGGACTTAGGCTGTGTTACTTAATCTAGTATTACTCAACTGTTTCATAATATTGTTTCATTTGGGTTTCATTGTCAATAGGTGTACACAGTTGAAGAACATGGAATGGATATTCTTATGTGGTCTTCTAGTAAAAATGAAGAGAACAAATGGATGTATGCAAATGTGCTCCTATCCAGCAACAGCCCTTTCAGGGTTGCTTTTGAAGCTGAAGTGGGGTGGAGAGAATCTATGGAATTTGCTCTTGATGATGTATCTTTCACCCCAGAATGTATTGATGGAGGTATGTTATTACACAGCTATCTRCAGTACAGTGAAATGAGGCTTACATGTTTTCTTTTCGGTGCACAGATGAAAATGATGCATTTCACATTTTGACTCATACCATAGTTACAACATCTCTACTTTTTTTTCTTTTGAAATAGCTACAGTATAGTTTATCCTTTCACTGAATTCCTAACAATGTAGAAAATCAATGAGCACTGCACAATCATGCAAAAAGGTAATTGCTTTCCAGTGGAAAGAAAAGTGTGTAAAGGAGTAAAATATCAAATTTGTCTTGTCTGATGCATATGACAAAATCTTAACTTTTTTTTTTTCCCCCTAGAGGAATGGATATATTGTGTCTAGCAAAGGGATTCCCAGCTAGTTCTCAGTTTGAATGCAGTGTCTGAATAAAGATRTATGCCTGTGGATGGCAGAAAACAGTTTTGTCTTAAAACTAACATTTGAATGTTAATAATAACACCAATTATAGCAGCTCATATTATCACTGTCACTGATGTCCTGTGAGTAATTTTAAGAAGCATCTTTAAGAGGGATTATTGTCCCTCAACTGGAATAGTTTTATTTTGTTTGGAAGTAGCTGTGTTTGGGAAAAGGAGGGTTTTATGTACTCATAAAACAGTTGCRCACAATTATTTAGAAAAGAAAATGATATGTTCTATGTGCACTTTTCATAAGATATTTCAGCAGCATAAAAAATTTACTGTGCTGTCAGATGCTTTAAGAATTTCCACTCTAACTTTTGCTACAAAAGCTARGTGACTTGAATTGTGTGAAAAAGTTACTTAAGTTGTATTGCCCYGTGACACTATGTTTACTCTGCAAGAAAGGCTATGTTTACACTGCAACTTACGCTACAAGTCAGTGATACAGTTTCAGAAGAAAAACATGTGAGTATATTGGCAAATGCATATGAATATTAGCCATGCTTCACTTAAAGRAGTCATGAGGGGAAAAGTGAAGAAGAAGCTTTTTTTATTATTATTATTATTTTCCAGATATTTTTTCATAAGGAACAATTAGAAATTACAATGGATAAACAGAAGGCAATACAGATCTTACAACAAAGTTCTGAAACAATATTTATTTCTATTTATACACCTCTAATATTCAGATAAGATWGCTCCTGTATGAATTAGTTATCATGCTGTTTAAGACACATTTTTTAATACTGTGATGATTAAGCAGGTTTCTGGAAAATTAACCACACACTGATTAAGGTTTAAGGTGAAATGTATGCTAGGTAGGTGGCACTTGCTCAGTCTCAAGTTAAACAAAAAAATCGATTGCTTATGTTTTCTCAATAGTAGGTTCAAGCAAATGCTATTTAGAAATGCCATTCAAGAAGTTGCAAGCATACATAAGCAATTTCTTGTTCTGTCCTTATTACGTTATTCATTATTCATATCCTGGGAATTACTTAGACAGTTTAATATCAAATACAGCACTATAGTAGAGAAATTTTCAAGTGATATACTTTTAGTACCTGTGATTAACTGCAATTCCCATATCTCTACTCCAACATTTTACATAAATCAAATTGCTATCTTTGAATGAAACTTATACTATGATAATTTATTATGAACCAAACATGAATTCAAAGATAGGAAAAAAGATTTTCCACAGAACATTTGAGTTAAGGTGTCCTGAAATAATCATCACTATAGAAATAAGGTATTTTTTAAGAAGGAGCTTTTTCTAAGTGCTTTATTTTCCCCAGATTTTTTTTTTTTTTCAGTTGCAGAATACATACAGGTTTTCTGTATACATCCTAACTGGCATATCATAACAAAAGTATTATGAAAAATGATTAAAGTTATATTGGTTTCTTGTGGTTTGTCAGGGAAGTCAGGAAGGCAGACAAGGCTCACCTTATCTAAATTCAGCCTCTAAAAATAAATCACATAGTCTAAACTTGTCATAGGCTCATTTTCCAGCTGCAGAAGAGATAGATATCTTCAGGAGACAACTTATTCAGTTCTAAGATATCCTAAGGTATCTGAGGTTCCATTCTAATCAGTCTGGAATTAGTTCTCACAAGCTGCAGTATTTATATTTTTAAGATAGAAATAATAGCTTATCTTGTTCTATCCAGCATTACAACATTATTTTTAGGTGTGAAAAAAAAATGCATCTTCCCTGAGACAATTGACTTGTTTAATAGAAATGCAGGACATTTATATTTGTTTCACTAGTATGGTTCAGACCTTTTCTACACTTTTTAAGGTGAATTCTAGAGAAATAAGAAGGACCTACACATGAATTATGTATTGAAATAATACTTTTTATATGTCCTAAACTTATGCTTTTATATGAATGAAATAAGTTATATTATCCTCAAAATTAATTCTAAGAACAGATAATTCAGTAGTCTACCTATGCAAATCTTCTCTCCTGGTGTGGCCCATGGAAAAGTATTAGAATGGAGGAAGGCTATAACAAATGCATCTCCAAAAATCGTTCACAGTCTCTCTTAATTTGGTCCAGGGGCTTTCTGAAGTTCTGAAGGTGGTGTTTTTTGATGGTGCTTGCTTAATTTCTCTTATGTGAATGAGCCATTTCTCTCTGAATGCACATAAACTCTTAGGCATTATTAGGTAATCATGGAGGTAACTGGTGGACCTTGGTTGCAGAAGGTCTTTTTAATGCTTTTACTTCCTATTAAGATTCCTCCATTGGATCCCTTTTCCTAACACTAGGTTGCCTCTCATCTTCCTCTCATTTAAGACCTTTGCTTGTGTCAGAGGATGGAATCTTCTAACCTACTGTTTTTTCTTCAATAYAGGCTTCCATTGGTAACCTTCGGCCTGCATTAAATATCCAGTCCTAGTTTCATCCTCCTCCTCAATCCTGCTGTTTCCATGGTTCCAAGTTCCACTAATTCATCTCTTGCTCCTCACTTAGTGAAGCATCCTATTTCATCGTGTTTTCATTCCATTCTCACATACCTCTGACTCCACCAACCACCCCACTGCTCTGTGTGCAGCCTGACAGTTCCAATAGTTTCCTCCAACATCTACCCCCTCYTTCAGTTTCATAGTGACTCCTACTCTTATCCCAAGTGGGTTTTCCAAATCCTCAGGTAGCCTCCTAATACTCTGTGGTATGATCTCTCTAGACGAATGATCTCCAGATACTATTACTTACCTGTTGACATTCCTTTCGTGTAATGGTCTTGTACTGCCCTGTGAAGAGTCCTGTACTAATAACCCTTGCTCACCAGATAGGCTAACACAGTGCTTGTAGAGAGGCAAGAAAACCATATGAAATCTGTATGCTAAACCATAGCTTAGGAGGAAATTTGGCTTTTGGCTGTGGCTTTTTAAAAATGTGCTTGTTGRAGGGCATCTATATCTACTATTATTTCCTTAATAATAACTGGTTCGGAGTAGTCACTTAGAACTTCAGTCAGCAAAATTTGAAGATACTACCTGTGAATAGTRCTAAATCATCGCACCTTGTAAGGGGAAAGTTCACCTTGCCTTTTGTACAGATATTCAAGAGAGAACATTTTGCTTTAACTGAACGGGTGAGAAAGTTTACTTACTCTACTGCCRGGAGTACTGATTTTGCTGTCATAGAATCATAGAATCATTATGGTTGGAAAAGACCTTAAGGATTATCAAGTCCAACTAAGATACAGGTCTTGGGACCAATTGCTCTGCTGCTCCCCTGCAGCTTCAGAAAGCAATAGAAAGCAATAGCACTGGCGGAACTRGTTTCCCATATTTATTCGAAAACACTTCAGCATAAAATGTATTACCCAAAGTACAGGTTTAAGTATTCACCCTTTCAGAAGACAGCTCTGCTGCTGAAAATTTTTCCTCTCTATTATTTTTTTTTTCAGTCACTTTAATTATGCTAGGTTTCCAGAGGTAACATGCTCTAAATAGAAACAATCACCATTTAGCTGGTTGGGAGCTCTAAGCAGTAAAGCATTACCAACAGCTCTAATTCAGATGAGGTTTTTATTTAAGTCGTTAGCCTCCATTAGCCTTGAGAGTGTCTCCAGACATGAGAAAGTTCTGAGCATTTGAACAAAATGTTATGAAGCTAGACTCTGCCTTAATGCAGAATTCCAGCATAACACAGACTCTAACTCACATCGAACTAACTGGCGAATGAAATGTAGTCTTACCACTTTTCAGAGTCTGTTGTTTTCTACTGATAAAGGTGTAAGAAGATTTTACATTCCTCACTATAACTCAGAAAAAATGATACAGGAATTATGCCTTTTAGCAACTGAAGAACTTAGATGTTATCCAGTTATAACCATCTCCTTATATATCTTTTTTAAATGAACAAGAGCTTTATTTTTAAAAGTCAAAAAACACCGCTTCCATTCTAATTTCAGAGGGACCAAGAATACTGAAGTATTGCATCAGATTTTGTATTCGTTAATATCTTTTTTCATAGTAGTTCAGCTGAAAATAGGAAGCATCACAACTTTTCTGAAATCCCAACATTAAACAGAAGATGCTAAATATCAAGCTTTAGTCTGCTAAAGTAAATAAGAACGCTGTGTTTCATCACTCCTACAATACTGAAGAAACAAATTAGAGAGTGGAAATCTGCTTAGTTTAAATAGTGATATATTTAGTTAAAATATTTTCACGTGTTTGAGAATTTTCTCAAGAGAAGATAAATAGTAATTATATTTTTTAAATTGGTGATAAATTATCTGGCTAAGTCTCACACAGTCTAATTAATAAATTGACTTACATGTTTTTCTGTCAACATTGATTCAGATTTTTATCCATGGACATAAAACTCAATGCGATTAATATTATGACAGTATATTAGATTTGCCATAACAACATTAGGCTTGTCGTAGCTACTAGAGTAAACTAACTTTATTTAAATGGACTGATCTAATACTGAAGTATATCTAAATTTTCCTTCTTTATGAATTTTCATGGCAATTTGTAATTTTGTCAGTGTCATAAAGAATGTTAAATGCTATTGTGATCTTTCCGGAGATTAGCCAAGCAAAATATT